ACACACACACACACTCACACACACACTCACACACTCACACACACTCACACACTCACACACACACACACACACTTCTAAAACATATATATATATATATATATGTGTGTGTGTGTGTGTGTGTGTGTGTGTGTGTGTGATTTATTTATTTTCATACCTCCTGCACATACGCTGGATGGCTCCGCTGCCAAGATCTCGATGCAAGATTTTTTGATTATCTAAAAACATAAAATATTTAATTAATTCTACACTGAAATTCAAACTACACTGAAAAAAAAATTGGTTTAGGATTTAGCAGTTTTCACTCAGAAATTGCTAGTAAATTTCACAAATAATTACAAAGAAACAGCAAGTAACACAATTAATTAAATGTTATTTGGAAGCAGACAACCTGGAATTTTCTTGTATAATAAAATAAGTTTTTTTTAAAGTAGAAAACTATTTTTACAAAATGCATTTATTTACTTATATGTATACTAATCAACTATTATTAAAGCCAAAGTGTGTCATTTCTGCATTGGTGCCAATGGTTTCATTGATCAGTCTTGACAAACGCAGCAAAATTATGAAATAAACAGTTCATATGGATTCATTTTACAATGACTTTATGACCAGTTTGGATCTTAAGTTTTGCTTATCTGGACTTTCAATGAGGGGATAGAAACCTCTCATTAAAATGATCTTAATATATGTCCCTGCAGCACAGAAGCAGTGTTGAGTCGCTGGGGGATATTTGTAGCAATAGCCAACAATACATTGTATGGGTCACAATTATACATTTTTCTTTTATGCCAAAAATCATTAGGATATTAAGTAAAGATCATGTTCCATGAAGATATTTTGTACATTTCCTAAATATATCAAAACTTAATGTTTGATTAGTAATATGCATTGCTAAGAACTTCATTTGAACAACTTTAAAGATGATTTTCTCAATATTTAGATTTTTTTGCACCCACAGATTCCAGATTTTCAAATATTGTGCTATCCTAACAAACCATACATCAATGGAAAGCTTATTTATTCAGCTTTCAGCTGATGCATGCATCTCAATTTGAAAAATTGACACTTAAGACTGGTTTTGTGCTCCAGGCTCACATTTGTGTATTAAAGATTAACCAAAGTCAACATGAGGGTCAGTAAATGATGAGAGAATTTCATTTTTCTACCACTGAAAAAATCCCACACTTCAGCTTAAAGTAAAGAACGTGCATCTTACAAAATGCATTTTTAATTAATCTTTCATAGAGCCAAACGCTTCAGTTTACCGAGTCAATCATTCCTCTCAGTGCCTGGAATCCTCCCAAGACCGGAAACACATGCTTACTGGTGTCCGCTATGGTAGCCAGCTAGAACAGGACAAACTGATGTTTATTTACAGCTCATCTGAGCATCCGATCTGTTTCTTCCATATAAAGTGCATTGTTTACATTCAATTACATTCTCTGGTTTAGTGCATACTTGTCATCAGTACCTGTGTTTCATTGAAGTCCTTAACGCCGACACAATACACGATTGCACCCAATGTCCGAGCTCGTGCTGCCTGACGAGACATCATGCAATCGTGATTAAAAACTGTCCGATTTAGATTTCTAAAAGTCTGCAAACTGAATGCTGAACATCATGTTACCTCCTGTTGAGCTGCTATCAGCTGATGTTCTTGAAGCTCACCGTCCGTCAGTGCAATTATGACACTTGCAGTTCCTACAAAGTGGAGGCAACATTAAACTGACTTGAGCTGAATAATGACACTGTCTTCTGTAGAGCTAGATTTTACACAGTTATTGAATCAATAATGATCTGACTTAAACGGACAGTTCACCCAAAATTGTATAAATTCTGTCATTTACACAAGTTGTTCCAAAACTATATTAGTTCCCTTCTTCTGTTAAACACAAAAGAAGACATTTTGAAGAATGTTGGTTGTCGGTAGCCATTGACTTTCATAGTATGGAAAAAAAATACTATGACGTTTTAGAATTTACATTTTTGGGTGAACTGTCGCTTCAAATTGAATAATGAAACTATTGCCTTTTTAGCAGAATTTATTGAAGACGTTTGCATCATTGATTCTGTTATGTTTCTGTTTATTACTGTGAAGCTGCTTTGAAACTAAATATCTGTAATATGTGCCCTGCAGCACAAAAGCAGTGTTGAGTCGCTGGGGGATATTTGTAGCAATAGCCAACAATACATTGTATGAGTCACAATTATACATTTCTCTTTTATGCCAAAAATCATTAGGATATTAAGTAAAGATCATGTTCCATGAAGTTATTTTGTAAATTTCCTACCGTAAATATATCAAAACTTATAATATGCATTGCTAAGAACTTCATTTGAACAACTTTAAAGATGATTTTCTCAATATTTAGATTTTTTTGCACCCTCAGATTCCAGATTTTCAAATAGTTGCATCTCAGCCAAATATGGTCCGATCCTAACAAACCATACATCAATGGAAAGATTATTTATTCCGCTTTCATGTGATGTATACATCTCAATTTCCAAAAATTGACCCTTATGACTGGTTTTGTGCTCCAGGGTCACATATATAAAGTGCTATCCAAATAAAGGTGACTTGACTCGTCATTAATGCAAACCTACCAAAGTTTTCCTGGTGTATTTGCTCATTTGCCTGTGAATAAATTTAGATAATATTGTTAAAATACATCAAAATAAGTACATTTGAATGATAAAGATATTTAATTTTAACATTTTACCTTTTCTAGACCAAGATGCATAAATGTATCTCCGCCTGGGATCTCTCGTCTGAGAGCATTAAGGCCTTTTCTTATGGTCTCCCTTTGAAACATGGAAACAAAAATGAGTAGAATGAAATAAACAACAAAAATTTGCAGCACTGGAAGAGCACCTGTTTTCCGTGAGTCTCATGATTGTGTTTCCTCTGGTTGAGAACACGATGAAGGACATTCGCAGCATTGGGCTGAGAGACGATGAAAAACAAACCAGAAATAGTTACAATTTTAAGAAATTTATAAAATGCTTTTGTAAAATCAACCATTACCTACTTCGGAAATCTTACGCAATTGCATAATGCCAACAAAAACATGGCATTTCCGTTGAGTCCTATTGTGTGGTACAGTGCGCTTGTTTGTTTTGCTCAAGAGATGCTTTAGTACCTGGTGAATTTCTCAGCCAAATGTTCAACAAATGTGTAGAGTTCGTGCCAGTGGTGTTTGACACTTCCTGACCTGAGGAGAAAGAGGTGAAACAATCAGTAAATGGGATGTTTCTGCTTTTAATGCATCAGATCAATACAACTGAGAATTCTTCCAATTAATTATCGATGCTTTCAACTTAGCAAAGCCATCTAGTTTTGTCTCCTATTGATTGGCGCAGCTGTAAACGCTTTAAAGGGTTAGTTCACCCAAAAATTACTCACCCCCGAGGCATCCTAGATGTATATGACTTTCTTCTTTCAGACGAATCCAGTCGGAGTTATATTAAAAATTGTCTTTGATCTTTCAAGCTGTTTAATGGCACTCAGCGGGTGGTGCATTGCTTCAGTCCAAAAGAAGTGAAATAAAAAGCGCCCATCCATAAAAAAAGTGTCTCACACGGCTCCGGGGGGTGAACAAAGGCCTCCTGTAGCGAATCCATGCGTTTTAGTAAGAAAAATATCCATATTCAAAACGTAATAATCACTTTAATCTATCTTGCGCTCACTGTTGTACATGGAAGCAGCTCTGGGCGGATGACGTATGAGTTCAGCGCTGCGCATGCGCCGCTCAGAAGTGACGAACGCGGAAGCACAGTGGAGAGATCAAAACAAAACTATGGTCACTTATTAAAAGCACAAAACGAGGATTTGTAAAGAAGAATGTTGGAGGATTTGGATATAAGCCAAGAGGAGACTGGGTTTCCTTTGCTAAAGTAAGGAAACTTTGCTTCTTTTGCTCCTGTTAACAAACGTTGGTTTTCACGAGACTCACCGGCGCATGCGCATCGCTGACCTCATACGTCATGCTCCCAGAGCTGCTTCTGTGTACAACAGTGAGCGCAAGCTAGATTGAAATGATTATTAAGTTTTGAATATGGATATTTTTCTTACAAAAACGCATCGATTCACTACAGGAGGCCTTTGTTCACCCCCCGGAGCCGTGTGAGACACTTTGTTTTATGGATGGGTGCTTTTTATTTCACTTCTTTTGGACTGAAGCAATGCAACACCCGCTGAGTGCCATTAAACAGCTTGAAAGATCAAAGACAATTTTTAATATAACTCCGACTGGATTCGTCTGAAAGAAGAAAGTCATATACACCTAGAATGCCTCGGGGGTGAGCAATTTATGGGCTAATTTTAATTTTTGGGTGAACTAACGCTTTAAGACAGTTCATTAGTTCTGGATGACAAATGGGAAATGAGCTAATTGAGTCTACTGATCTGTGATTGAGTCAGTTTGACTAATTGATGAAACATGCCGCAGAAATAGGCTTTGCGTTGTGTAAATCGCATTCCCTGGCTGATGTAAGATGTTTGGTCTGAAGTAACTGACTCGTTCTATGAAACCGGTGGCACTGGCAGTCTGACAAGGTGATTTTAAAGTACATTTCTGTAAGATTTCTGATGAAGTGAGTATGCATTGTGTCATACAGTTGATGGTAACAAGGTTGAACGTTTTTTTTAAATGGTAAAATTTTATTTACCAGCCTTGTGCTCAAGATTGTGAAATGTAACGTTCACTATACAAAGTCATGGTAATAGGGTTGACGCTACAATCATCCTCTACTGAAAAACATAACAAAATATAAGATAAAATTATACTTTTCCTTGGAAAGTTTAAGAAAGGGGAAAATATGAAGGTAATAGAGGTGAAACACAATGTAAAGAGTGTTTCGACAATACATTATATGAGTAGTTAAAATCTAAAAAGACATAGAAAGAAAAGAAATGAAAAGGAAAAAGTTTTTATTTGCATTGAATTTGTGGATCAAATGTGCATATTTGCTCTTATACAGAAATAAGTGCTAGCGATGGGGACAGACCAATAGGACATATTCATGAAGACAAAGGGGAGAAAATGACAAATAAAATTAGTTACTACATTTTTGCTGAAATAAAAAGAAAAAAACTTGCAACACAGCCGGTCAAAAGTTTGGAATAATTGCGATTTCTAAATGTTTTTGAAAGACCTCCCTATCGTGCACTAAGGCTGAATTTATTTGATTAAAAACACAGTAAAAACTGTAACATTGTGACTATTTAAAATAAATGTTTACTATTTTAATATATTGTAAAATGTTGCTTATATCTGCATTGGCGAAGCTGCATTTTCGGCATCATTACTCCAGTTTTCAGTGTCACATGACCTTTTAGAAACCATACTTTTTTAAAACAGAAATCAAAATAAATTAAATTTAAAACATTCAAATAGAAAACAGTTTCACGATATTACTGTTTATACTGTATTTTGGTCAAATAAATGCAGCCTTGTATCTTTCAATGCAACTTTTACCCTTCAAAAACATCAAAAGATTTAATTATTCCAATCTTTCGAATGGTAGTGTATATTAAAACATAGTAAAAGTTGACAATTTTTGCACATATTATGACCTATTTGACCCAACTCTCCTTGTTAGACAAGAAAAAAACAACTCAAATGAACTGATTTTTATTGTTTTTAATAAAATGACTAATCTTAAAAAAGCCATTTGTTTTCCTTCAGAGAAATGCTAAGCTAATGATTTTGTTTGATGAATGCTCTTGAAAAGCTCTTTCTGGAACGGCGTGGGAGGAAGATGTTTTTATAACACAGCCAACAAAAGACGGGTCAGCGCATAGCCAGCACGCTCTGAAACAGCAAAAAACAGACCATATAACACAGAGGTGAACGCTAGCGAGAATATGCAGGTCATGCTAAGGGCTCGCCGCAGTTTTCAACTTCAGATTTCTGAACATCACAATGAACGCTGTTTGTGTTGGAAGCAGGACTTTCTTGAGGTAACAGTAATCATGGGATTGGTGCCTAGCTTGCAGATTTCTCACCTGTGCAAACAGCGTTAGGAAAGGAAGTGGTCTATTCTCAAGTGAGATCCTTGATGAAATATGTTGCGGTGCCTTCCTTTGATCTAATTTGAATGGGTTATGCCAAACCATATAGAGCCAGCGAGATTTCAGCTCTGAAGATGATCCTAATTCACAGAGAAATGAATTACGGGCGATCGTCATCTATTAAATGACCCCCAAAACTCATGTTTTCTACTGTTACACGACTCTTCGTATATAATTGCACATATGTTAAGACACGTGAAAGTCATTGCGGTTTGATGCAACAAGAGCCAAGATGGGAAGACTCACTGGAGTAATATTTGGAAGAGGGATAATTAGAAGAGTGTGTTGCTCTTGCATCTGCTCTGAGATCAGCCTTCCCTCGAGATCGAATCTTGAACTGACTTTTCATATCTGCGTTTCTGCCAGAACCAGAAACCAAAACACAGCTCACAAAAAGCTTCTCCTTGCTGTCGAGTGCAGTTACCTGTCGGCGTTTCAGATTAAAGAGGTTTGTGAAGCAGTAATAATAATGTTTAAAGAGGACCAGAGGAGACCTGCAAACGTGACTCGGTTTAGGTTTATGTAAAGTCAGCATTAGCTCCGCTTCTTCCTGCTTTGTAATGCCTGAGACTTGGTAAGAATATTATGGTGACAATTCCCTGACACTGCTGTTTTAATGGCTCCTCCGGGTCCTCCAACATCTTCTAGGCCTACTGCAGTTTAACAGAACAAGTCTGGATGGTCTCCTCAGTGTTTATAAACAGCCTAAACAAGCATTTTGCAACAGTACACATAACATATTCAAATAAATAGGTGTGGTGAGGTTTTTTGTGACACTCCTAGACTCTGTACACTCTTAAGAATAAAGGCGCTTCACAGTGATGCCACAGAAGAACCCAATACTATGCTAAGACATCACTTTTACTGTAGTTCACGATTTGTAACATTTACATCACATAACCAGCTCCATATATCTGGCTTTTCTTATGTGGTAAACTTGCTCAGTAGCGCACCCGGTACATCACTGCACTAGTGATGTGACCCGCTCTCGAACGAGTGCTGTCAAACACGAGTCATGATAAAAGAGCTCAAAGACTTGTAGAAGCATAATACAATGATATGGTTACTTGTGTTTTTATCCCACATTTGCTTTTGTTAACACTATCGGTTATTTTAGTGTGCAATAGAGTATTAACCCTAATTGGCGCCACTCACCATATATTTATTTTCTGAACTTTCTGTGATACGTACAACAACCAACGTGATAAAATGTTTCCAGATTCACATTCATCTGCTTTGGATACAACTAAATGTGCTTTTGGCATTTTAACTTTAAAAGTGTCACAAAACGTGCAAGAAGCAATTTAATATCATTTTGTCTTACTGTTAAACAAAATAAAGACAAAATACTACCTTTTGCATCTGTGTGTATAGGTGTAAAGTATGTGTATTTGTTAAAAAGCAGAAAACATCATTGCAGGGGGTAAGTCAAGATGGCATCACCATAAAGAAAGAAAGAAAATAAATGCATTTACTGTATTTTGTTGATGTTTTCAGAAAAATGGCTATACAGAAGAATTATTCAAACATGCTATACTATATATTACTCTACAGAAGCACTCACTGCCTGTCAATCATTTAAAGTCCCCATGAATCAAAATTAAAGTTTTGTGGGTGTTAGTATCAATATGTTAGTCTTAAGGTTATCTATAAGGCAGTGTGCTCCAAAACAGTGACAAAATTCACATTTAGAAGATATAAGCATTCGAAGCTTACAGTTCGTAACTTCCGCCAAAACGGCTCAACGATTTTTTTGACGTCACATCGTACTTCAGCTTCTCATCAAACTTTCTGTCCAATCAAACATTCTCTAGAATCCGAAGCCCGGCCCCCTAGACTATAAAATAGACGCTTGTCCACAGAATGAGTATTTTCTGTGCAGTGAATGGCACGTAGTGCACTATATAGGGGACATTGAGGAGAAAAATAAGTCTGGTTTGGCGCTGTGTCCCGCTAACCACCTCACCGCACACACACTCTGCTCCGGTCCAGAGACACGATAGCACGGAGCGGATCACACGCGCGAGTCGCCGCAGACCACTAAATGTATCGGAGCTATTTGAATTCTACACAGAATGCTATATTTTACAGCAATATGGATGAGATTGTGGCTGGCATAACGGAGCTCAACGGCTCTGAGCGGCTCTAGCCCAAGCTGTGATATAAACGAACGCTATTGGCTATTTTAAAAAGGGGCGGGCTGCTTGATATGTCCCGCCCTGTCTTCCTGTTTCAGTTAACATGACGTCAACACAGAGTAACGCTGCGTGTTTCTAAGCGTTTCAGGGGACCTTTAACTCATACATGTTTGCAGACTTTGGGTTGACTGACGTGATTTGGGAAAAAAGAGGTGTATTTGAAAGAACGGGAGTGGGTCTAATTCACTGGCCAAGTATAGTTAGCAAACAGCTGGGGCTGGTTGTTGGAGTGGTATTTAAAAGCCAAAGCTTCTTCTAGTTTTTTTACAATAAATCTCAGAAGCTCTGAAAATGGTAGTGTGTCAAGAAAAAAAAAACTCATAGAAATTTGGTTAATGCATCAAGTTCTGTGATGCACACCCGTTCAACTGAAAAACCTTTCAGTTTCTAACCTTTCTAACCTTTTTTTAAATCTGAGCTTACGATTCTGAATGTCTCGATTTTAGTCTTTGAGTTTTCTGTGCTGCTCTGAGAACACTGCATATCCTGAGAATACTTTTTACGCCCTGAGTAAACTTCACAGCAGTTTCTGGTCTGCATCCAGAAAGGAGATTTGTGGTGTGTGATAACATTTAACTAGGAATGCATGTCTCCTAAAACTGTTCCAGGAGGTTAGGTAAAGCTGAATTTGGGTGTATTAGGGGAGAAACTCGACATGGCTCTCAGAGAAGGGCTTGACATTTATGAATCATTGGTACACTACGGCTGTTATTCTGGCTGTTTTAAAACAGATGACTCAACGCCTGGGTTATCTTAAGCTAAACAACAGTTAGTGGAACCAAAACTATGATTAACACAGTGATGTTTCAAAACAATCATAAAGATGAAGTAAATCAGACCGCAATATGTGTCCAGACATTGTTTATGACCAATCCCAAGAGTCAGGTGGTCAGAGGGATGCAGAGCGACAGCTTAAAATGCATTGGCTAAAAACTAAAATTACAAGGTCTTTGACAAGGTCTTCAATGGGATCCAATGTTATGTTATTTTGCCCTTTATTGCCTTTCCTTCATTTATGCATTTGGCAGATGCTTTTATCTCAAGTGACTTGCATTGCATTTCAAGTGTAGATCTGATTCAATTCAATTTAATTGATTAAATTCAAGCATTCACTGGGAATCAAATCCATGACCTTGGTGTTGCTAATGCAATACTCTGCTCTTACAGAAATGCATTATATGGACAAGACGTTTGTCAAAACATTGTTTGTGTTTCACAGAAGAAAGTAAGTCAGGTTTGGAATGACATGAGGGTGAGTAAATGATGAGCAAATTTTCATTTTTGGGTAAGTTCTCTTTTTAAAGAACCTCAAAAACGGCACCGGCAAAAATCACCAGAGTTGTACAGTGCAAATAGCACACTAAGCATTCCCACGGACAGTTTCTTTGTTTTATTCCACTTGTTAAACAGCAGGCCATGAACTGGTAGACTGGTTCTGAATCACTACCCAAGGCCGTGACTTCCCAGAAAGCCTTTGGGACACATTAAAGCAGAAGTGGAAGCAATGATGCCAGGCTTGAAGGACAATCTTGAGGTCAATTTACGAAATCATTTCTAAAAATCTGGCCCTTTTTTAGCCCCACATTTTCTTTTTATATAACCAATATTCCACTGATATGCTGGGACTTTCCACAACGATATGCAGCAAATTTACTTTTAGGAAAGAGGATATTTAATTCTAACCTTCTGGTCAGTCTGTTTGTGTTGGTCAGTGGTAATTGTCTTAGATTACAATATTTTTAAAGGTTAAAGATGTTCAAACTTTACTTCCCTAGTGCTTTCAAGGACTTGATTTTTTCTAAAATCTCATTGTGAGGTTGTGATGAGATGAACAGATAAACATGCCAACAAATCCACGAAAAGCCCCTTCTTATCAGTCGAATAATGGTGCACCACTCTTGTGCAATACAGCTGTTGTTTGTGATGCTTCAATACTTCAACTTCAGCTTATTTGGTGATAAACAGATACAGAAAAAATGACACTCTGCCCTCTGCACGCAACGGCACGGTGATTAAAAACACTGAATAATGCATGCAGGAAATTACTTAAATTGTTGAAGCTGAAGGCTTGTAATGTTCTGAAAAGGCTGCAGATGTTTCACTAAATGTCAGTTTTTCCAAAGTCTGTAAAGCAAAAAAGGGGGGTGCTTGTGTTGGCTATGTCTTCTGCCATCACATTACGAGAAAAACTGGGTGGAAAAGGACCTCGCATGAATTGTATAGTTTTACTCAGCTGATCAGTTCCAGAGCACGTTGCATGACACATGAAAATCAAAGCACACAGGATTTATGGTGCATTTGATTGTTTCTAATGTTTTCACTGCTAATTTTATCCAGTATGGTCTAAAATATTGATTCTCTTTATGACAGCTGCACACGCTGAACTTCTGACACATGCTCAAACAATATCACCTTTCATCAAAGGGCCTTGAACTATGTGTTCATAGATCAAGCAATAAGCCCATCTAAACAAATAAATACGAGACACCTTTTCTCATGAGACCAATGCCGTTACAGATAACCCACACATTACCATGAGTCTCGTGAGACTAACAGCATATTTGATAGTAAAGACAAACTAGGCAGTTTTGCTCAACTCACATTTTGCTCAAGTCATAATTTTCACCTGTTTCGACTTAGATCTTAATCTTAATAATCGAAATAGGAGAAAATTGTGACTTGAATTGTTTCTTTAAATTTCTTGGTTGTACATGTTATTTTAACTGTCACCGTCCCACCTGTGGGATGCTTGGCGCTCTTTTTTTGTTGTTGTCCTTTTTCTCTATCAAATCTTTTAGTAATCATCATAATTTATATATTATTTGAAAGTTTAGAAGCCCAAGATTCATCCTGTGAAAACCATTTTGAAATCGGACATTGCGTTACCATGGAAATGGTACTTTAAAATCTTTTGGTGGTCTCCTCCCCCTTAGTGGGCGGTGTCATATTACAAAATTAATTACGGTCTTTTAGAATCAAACCTTTTTATAATCTTGACAAAAAACATATCATTGGAAAGGTCTGAGTCTCAGGATTCCATATATGGTGGTAAAACAATTCAATGGAGTTTGGATGGCACCCGGTGGCTGTTTGTGGTATGACGCCCTAAATAAAATCTCACAGGAACCTCAATTGTTTTCATATAAACTTCAAATTTGGAACATAACTTATTTAGACATCAGGCTTTATGCAAACCTGTTATGTAAAATATTTATTATATATAAAATAAAATTAATATAGTGCATTTTATTTACAGTAAATGTAAACTTTTTGATACTTAAATTGTTTTGAAAAATTGATTTGTGATTTTCTTCTTTAAAAAGAGACCAACCTTAGGTCTGTATTCAAAAGTGCTCATAAATTACAACAATTTAAGTTTGGATAGTGCACTTTCATGCCTATTTAAAAAAATGTGGGGGGGGGGCAGTTAAGGGGTTAAACTGACTTAAATCAAGTTCATATTACTCGTAAAAAAAGTTGTAATTCCTCAATTAATTTAGATGAGTTAATGTAAAAACACAAGTTGCCTTTACTTACTGACCCTATCATTTTAAATAAATGTGTAATTAGACTAAACATCCAGTAAATAATCTTCCCAGTCAAATCGTGGGAAAGGATGTTGCTTTTCCGGGTCTGTTTAACAATGGTAAAGGATAAGCAGCAAGAAAAGAGAACCACAGAGGAATGAAGTTGTGACCATCTGAAGTGCTTATTCAGCAAACTTCACATGTACCACCCCTCTTCTCATCATTACACACAGACAGAGCACAAAACAACAAGTTTGCACAATAAAAATAAACTGGATGACTTCTGTTAAACAGTCATTGGTAGTGTATGTGTTGTCTGGTATACACTGCATTGTTCTTGAACTCTAATTGAACCCAGCCAAGTGATACCAAACAATGCACATCTGGTGAATGTCTATTTTGGTGATGCGGAATGTGAGAAATTTTGGGAAAAGACGGAGGATGTGAATGGAAATGTACTGGCCTACTTTATCCAGGCAGTATCTCTCAGTGTGGAAAACATCAGGCCGACAGACTGCAAAAGCTTAACATCCCTAACATTTGCACTTCATACAGATCAAGTTGCCTTTGTATGTGATTGATAGGTTTATGTTGCATACCAGAACGTTTACCAGCTGTTAGAGCACTAAGATTAAAGATATAACTCACAGACTGACTTTCTTTTATGTTCAGAGAAAAAGAGAGACTGGATTCTTTGTTCAAACAACTGTGCGCAAAACGATTGAATTGTAACAGTTACTTACTTGTCAAGGACAAAATACAAGTCAAAGGCGCCCTGACATGATCTCTCCTCCTCCACATCTTCTTGCGCTCTCGCAGATGGAAGCGTGAACAACAAAAGTCCCAAGAAAAGTACGCCAAGACACAATTTCACTACTGAACTCGTCATCGTTTCTTACTGCAAAAACATCAATCCTCAAGAAAGCCGACGGCCATTCACATTATCCCCTAAAAAGAGCCTTTGCTGAGGATGCACACAAAGAAGAGGAGTTTTGCGGATGTTGACGCAGTCCTTACTCACATCAGTCTGAAACCTGTAACTCCAAACTTGAGATAAGATGAAAACGAGCTATTCCCAAAATGTACTGCACAGAAAGCCGACGTCCAGGAAAACACCACAAAGAACGACTTCCAAAGTGTCTGTTTAGTTTTCTTTATATAAAACACTAGCCGGTTTGTTGTTTTGGGGGATTTTGAAGAACTGTTGCTGCACTAAATCCACGTGTTAAAAGGCCAGATGTATTTTGTTCAAGCGCTTGATATTTGATGTTAATGTGCAAAGCAAAGACGGAGTCGTCTGAGAAAAGAGCCCAGGCTCAGAGTTGGCAGAAGAGGAGCTGGTGTCATATTTCTACCCTTGTAGAAAAAAAAAGAATTGGGTCAGTTTCTACTCCTGCTCCTCGAAGGTTTCCTCCCTTCCTCTGGATATATGCTAAACATATGGGTTTTGCGACGTTTTTTGTGCTTGTCTGCTAGCGTTGAGGAAGTAAATTTAAAACTAGAATAGAAAAAGATTTATTTTTATGCATTTTAGAATGTTTAGTTTATATATATTTAGTTTATATATCAGTTATATAATATATATATATATATATATATATATATATATACAGACTATATATTGAGGTTAAATATATGTTTGTTTCTTACTCTTATTCCATTTTGCAGTAGCCTATATCAGGTGTTGGGTTAAGATTGATTAATTAATTAATTAATTACATTTACATTTAATCATTTAGCAGACACTTTTATCCAAAGCAACTTACAAATGAGGTCAATAGAAGCAGTCAAAACTAACAAAAGAGCAATGATATGCAAGTGCTATGACAAGTCTCGGTCAGCCTAACGCATTAGCCTACAGGTAGCAAGATTTATATATATATATATATATATATATATATATATATATATATATATATATATATATATATATATATATATATATATATATATATATATATATATATATATATATATATATATATATATATATATATATATATATATATATATATATATATATATATATATATATATATATATATATATATATATATATATATATATATATATATATATATATATATATATATATATATATATATATATATATATATATATATATATATATATATATATATATATATATATATATATATATATATATATATATATATATATATATATATATATATATATATATATATATATATATATATATATATATATATATACACACACACACACATACAAAGAAAACAAGTAGATAGAATAGAAAAAGAATATAGAAAGCTAGCTTTAGAGTTTTTTTTAAGAAAAAAAAATAATTAATTATTGTTATTTATTTTCTCTTTTTCTTATGTGTACTATTTCAGTTAGGTCATTTCAGCAGTTTACATCGTTACACCAGTAGTTGGCGTTAGTGAGCATTTTTCTTGTGTGCTGTGAGTGAGTCATATTGAATCAATCATATTGAACTGATTCTTTTAAAATGGTCACGACTCTATAGTCATAAGCTTTTGGCAAATTCAAGAAACCCCACGTTAATTTATTTGAACTTTTATCAAGTTATAAAAACAACAGAAATAAATTAAGCATTTCAACAATGTCTGTACATATATATATATATATATTAGAGCCCGACCGAAATGGGTTTTTGGGGGACTGATACCGATATTAGGGAGTAAAAAAATGCCGATACCGATATATCGGCCGATATTCTTTGTTTATATTATAGTACAGTACCAATCAAAAGTTTGGACACTTTCCCATTCGTGTCTCCAAACTTTTGACTGGTACTACTGTATATATAGAATACCGTATATACATAAACAGAATATATACTTTATACATAAACACATTTTTTGCAATGATCACTCAAATGTGGTGATCAAACATTCATAATGACGTGACAAAGATACGCCGAGATACACGGGGGTGGTCTCATTCGAAAGGGGGCAAGACGTACACTCGATTTGGTGTTCGAGAGGGTTCCTCGAGCTGAAGGGATCCCCCGAATTTGGTGCAGATTCGCAGCGCCGCTACGGAGATATGGCCATTCAAAGTCTCAATAGTATTTCATACACTTAAGCTTTCAAGCGTTTCATCCAGATCGCCTGTAGCAAACAATGGAGCATGCTCTGCTGGACAAACTATGTAATTACACCATTTACAAGCATTTTATCTGCGTTTTATGCTATGTAAAAAAAATCTGTTGTCAACAGGTGCTGCATAATTGTAATGTTAGTATGGCAGTGGATGTGCTTGACTGCTTACTTTGGCCAACTGATAAAGAATATGTGCTGCCATCTTCTGGTTCTTTGCTGCTTATTTCTGAAAGAAAAGGTGTAGTAAACACATGTATAAAAATAATAGTTTTGTAATGACCTCAAGTGAGCAAAAATTGGATTTTTGACTTACCAAATATGAAGATTGTTTTTGTTGTGTGGGTGAGTGTGTTTATGTTGTAACTGTGATTTTTGTTGAGATTGCAAACGGATAAATAGAGGTAAATAATCTGATCAAAATAATCTGGAAAAATCACAAGAGGCTTTCAGAGACATAAGTATGTCTGGAATTGGTTTATGTTTGTTAAACCCGTTTTACCTCAGTTGTAAGGAATTTTTGATTTAATCTTTAAAACACATTACAATTAGAACAGTTTCCATGTGGTTTTTATTACGTTTTAACATTTGGTTTCAATATAACTCCGAAGTCGCAATTTTCCCCAGTTATACTGAAAAAGATTCAAGTTCAAGACTAATTTTCAGTTTGTTAATATGCATGTGCATAGGTGTTTAAAACGCAAGCATAAACACATTTTAATCTGCACAAAGGAAACTAGTTCACAAAGAACCGAACACGTTTAGAACAGGCCTAAACTGAATATCACTTTAAGAACATTGACTGCATTCTCCTCCACCAAGTGTGCTTAAAAGAATGCATGCTTTGGGTTAGAAATAATACAGAAACAAAGAAAAGGAATAGAAAAAGGTACTTTCTAAACATTACCTTAAAGATCTACACAGATCATGACAGCATCTTCACAACATGCCATCCTTCTAAATAACTAATTTGCAATATCATTTGGCTTCCATACCAGGCCCAGGAGAACAACTTATTGTTGGCCAGAAAAATGCTTATTGAGGATGCCCTTTGCTGTGTCGAGGGCGGCATCAGCGGGCACTGGAATGTGAGGGGCAATGCCAGCACCCTCCCATGAAGGGCCCTGAGCAGTGTCTGAATGGCTGATTGGAATAGATAGAAAGATGTCACTTTCGCCAACACTGAAGGTCTCTGGGGGGTGACAACCTCCATGGGTTGTTTCACCGATAATCATTGCACGTCCCAGCTTCTTCATGATAAAAACAAACTCCTCAGCAGCACCAGCGGTCGCACCACTGGTGAGGATTATCACGCTCTTTTAGCTGCCGTATCTCCTGCCTATAACGAGTAGAAATGCACAGTTAATTTTGCAGTATTATGCAGTGGTGGCGAAATTTTCACTAGTAAGTCAAATCTTTTGCTGTAGTGTGTCAGTAAGAAATATCAGTTTACATTTCCAAACATTCATTTTGCCATTAATTGTAATAATGCAGTGAGATATATGTTTGTGCTGCACACAGAGCTCTGCTCTGATCATCATCAGTCTGTCTGGAGTCACATGAAGAAACAGAACAAACTGAGACAGACTCAATCCAGAAGAACTGACGCTTCACGAAACAAAGGATGCTCACACCAAATGTTGATTTCATTCAGTTCAGTCTCAGTTTGTTCTGTTTCTTCATGTGACTCCAGACAGACTGATGATGATCAGAGCAGAGCTCTGTGTGCAGCACAAACATAAATCTCACTGGATTTTTACAATTAATGGCAAAATGAATGTTTGGAAATGTAAACTGATATTTCCTACTGACACACTACAGCAAAAGATAAATAGAAATAAAGAGAAATAACTGACTTAAAACCATTCTTTAGCTGCTGAAAATACTAGTGTTCTAATAATTTTGGCCACCAAATATATGACATACAAGATAGGACACTGCACTTTTTGGGTATAGATCAAACAATCTAAAGTAAAATGATAAACATATAAACACAAATAGTAAAACTTGTCATTTTAGTAATGTACCTGTAAGTTGTGTAAGGGTCAGAAGATCTCTTGTGGTATTGGAGGGTCTGTCGTACACGTGGTCTAGCACAATCTGCTTGTCACCGTCAAAGAAGTATGAGCAAAAGCCAGCAATGGAGGAGGTGGACCCACCAACGTTGTTCCTTAAAATATGAATGGTCATATCACATTATGGACTAAAACGTCTGGAATTTGTACATATTAGAGCGCCATATCCAATAGAATAATCACCTCAAATCAATGATCAGCGCGCCAGTGTCAACCACTTTATTCCAGACGTGCTCCGCAATGATCTTAGCAACATGTTCAAAGTCTCCAAACATGTCAAAGCGAAGGTAACCAATGTTGTTTTCAAATACATCAGTGTGGAATGAAACTTTGATGAGCTCAATGAACATCTCAGGCGTGGGATTCTGGAATTTAGAGGACAGCTTCATTCATAATTTTGCTTCAACAACCAATGTATTGTTATATCTAATATTTTATGCCTAAGACTTACCTTTGGAGGAAGTGCGGGGATATTGCTGGTGGCCTTCAGACACTTGTCTCCTGACAGTTTTAGGAGGTCAGCAGAGAGCTTTGCTTCCAGTTCTTCCTTTGTGGAGATCAGGTTGTATTCTCCACTAGCCGCAACAGCTCCCAGCTTCTCAGCAACATCGTCCCCGATGCTCGGAAATGCATAGTTGTCTGCAACCAGTGTGGCTGCCCCCTGAACCAACCCTGCAGCACGGAGTTTAATGATTGCAATTGCAGCATCAAGGGCATCTTCTGCAGTAACTTCAACATCTGGTGCCACTCCATTGACTTCCCAGCTCTTGCCAGTGATGGGGTTCATAGACTTAGCAACTGGCACAGTCACATAGAAGTCAGTGTCACCTACCTTGATTTTGTTGATTTTTATACTTCCCCCAGCTGTGTTCTCCCCAACAATGGTGGCCCTTTTAAGGTTTTTAAGGCAATATGCAACATCTTCTGCAATCCCAAGAGTATTCTTGCTTGTCAGAATGATCAAGGGTTTGGAGGTGCCATACCTTTTTCCCAGTAGGGTCGGCATGGACCACAGCTCTATGGTGATATCGGAGGTGCGATCATACACAGAATCAATGTGGATAAGAGGCTCAGGATCGGTGTAGTAGGACACGATGTATGGGATTCCAGACAGCTCACCAGTGACTGCACTGCGGAAGTCAAGAATCATGGCAGATG